CACAAGAGTGTCCTACAAGAGTGTCCCACAAGAGTGTCCCACAAGAGGGTCCCACAAGAGTGTTCCAAAAGAGTGTCCTATAAGAGTGTCCCACAAGAGTGTCCCACAAGAGTGTCCTACAAGAGTGTCCCGGGTCCCACAGGAGTTTCCTACAAGAGTGACCCACAAGAGTGTCCTACAAGAGTGTCCTACAAGAGTGTCGTGTAAGATTGTCCCACAAGAGTGTCCTGCAAGTGACCCACAAGAGTGTCCCACAAGAGTGTCCTGCAAGTGACCCACACAAGTGTTCTACAAGAGTGTCCCACAAGAGTGTCCTACAAGAGTGTCCCACAAGAGTGTCCCACAAGAGTGTCCTATAAGAGTGTCCCACAAGAGTGTCCTACAAGAGTGTCCCACAAGAGTTTCCTACAAGAGTGACCCACAAGAGTGTGCTACAAGAGTGTCCTACAGAGTGTCCTGCAAGAGTGTCCTACAAGAGTGTCATTTGGACATATTGGTTTGTCGAACGTGTTTGCATTCGGGTTCGTGGGTTCCATCTTGTTTTTTTTTGTGTGTGTGTGTGTGTTTTTTGGACCTTTTTCAAGGGGTCACGTCTTGGTCGTTCGCTTTTTTGGAACCTTTTCAGGCTTATATATTGAACCTGCTTTAGCAGAACCATTCGTGGCCTTCGGGGTTCCTTTCTGATTTGTTTGAGGAGGTTTGGTATCATATGTTTGATTGAATTTTCTTGTTTCAGGGTTCTCTTTCGACCTGCTTACAGTCCTGTCTTGACCTGCTTTAACAGAGGTGTGGTATTGGGTTCACTCAGGGTTCTTGTTTGATCTGCTTTGAAGAGGTTTGGCATGGGGTTCCATTTTTCCGTGTTTCAGGGTTGGTTTGTTACTTGTTTTGAGGAGTTTCAGGTTTATTCTGATCCGTTTTAGAGATTTTGTGCACCTACTTTACAGGGTGCCTTTTTTGGTCTGCTGTCTCTTTTTGACATGTTTAGGGGTTGCTTTGGATTGGATGTTCTTTTTATTGTTTTTCGATGCTTCAGTTTTCAAGGTCCATTTTTGAACCAGGGTTCTTGCTGACTTGCTTTGAAAGGTTCAGTGTTCTTGTCCCACTTTAAGTACTTTCTTCAGCAGCTTTAAGAGCTCCTTTCTTGGCATTCGAGGCTTTGAGATGTTTAGTCTTCTTTTGGACCTGCTTAGGTTTCCTATTCAGCTTGTGTTAAGTGGTTCGGTGTTGGGTTCTTTCTTCCTTCAGAGTATGTTTAGCCAGTTTTTTAGAGCACGTTTTTTTGAAGTCCCTTGTTGGCTTTCAGGGTTCGACCAGTTTTGAACAGTCTGAAGGTTTACGCAACATGTTGGTTTGTCAGGTCTTGGGACACAGAATAATAGCAATGGCCTCCACCCTAAGAGCGATGGCCTCCACCCTAAGACCGATGGCCCCCACTCTAAGAGCGATGCTCTCCAACCTCTTGCGACGGCCTCCAGCCTAATAATAGCAGCATGCTGTGGATGAATTGGCCTCTTTCTTGGCCCATGCATGAGACAACCTCCAAAGCCGATTCCACCATCCCCTTGGGAATGCTGTGGCTTCAAACTCCAGGGTGCTGGGCACATTCGTCGACAGCCACCATTCAACTGGTTTACATGCTTGGTGGGCCACACATGAAAGGAGCATAGAGATCATAGAGACTGGAATGAAGTTATCCTTCAGATTGCAACGACAATGACTTCCAAGGGGCAGGCGAGATCACAAACATGTTCTGCAACCATTATTCGAGGTGGCACAAAACAAGGAAGAATGGTCCGACCTCACCTCTCGAAACTTGTCCGGCGTTCTTGGCGCCGCCCCCAGAAAGGATGCTGCTGGCAGACCACAGGATACTGCAAAACAACCCTTCACCGTTTCATTGAACCAGTGCTCCGCATTTCTTTAACTGACAGCAAAGGCTGAGTCAAAGGGAGAAAGTGCTTAGAACACGAGGGACTGCACAAATCCAGGTGGGACTACTGGGCCACCAGGAGGTCCACCCAGCCACATGCCGCACTCCCCCATGTGATACCGGGTGGGAGGAGTTTCAGTCCAGGCTAGTACCAATGAACCGCAAAGCTCATCACTCTGAGTAAACCAGCCGTGGCCCACCCACCCACCTTACATCCTGTGGAGATGGATCAATGAATTATGAATAAACAAGTGCATTACTAGTAACAAGTGCATCGCTACTAGTAACAAGTGCCTTACTAGTAGTAACAAGAAGCTACTACTATTAATTTAATTAGAATCATATTAACTGTCATACAGGGAAGGCACATCATCTCAGCTCCACACGGATGAAAGCCAAGCACGGGCCTGACGGTGCTAGGCACGGTGTGCTAGGCAAACTGGAGGGACGAATTTAGACCCAGCGCCATTTCACCCACATCACCCCTCTACAAGAGCCTTGTGTTTGTTCATTGTACATGCGAGTAAGTTATCAAAGTGCCAAAGTTACTAAGTTCAATGCTAGTTTGATTCAACTATTATTTGATATATATATATATTATATGTATATATTATATACAGTAGTTCATCCGAGTTCATCCTTCTCTGACCAAAATCCAACGATGACAAGTCTTTCGTCTTGCCTCACTCCATGGAGCTGCAAAAGCGCAACAAGTGCATTGCCCAGCAATTTAGGGAGCGAAGCAAATCAACTACTCTTCCAAACCGAGAGCAAAGTGCTTCGGAGAAACAAAGTCAGAAGCACTGGCAGCGCAAGGAGCCAAAATAGAGCAAGAAATCAAAAGGAGAGGTTGGTGGCTGAGCTTGGGTGGCCGTTTATTCTTTTGTGCCTTCCATCCTTGGGGTCTGCGAGCAGCCATGCGTGTTGAATTCAATGCGCTTCATGCATCCTCCCCGAGATCTGCAATCATCTCCCTCATGGCGGCTTCGATGGAGGTCACGCTCTTTGGGATTTGGCTGGATCCAAATGGACCGCTAAAAGGCGCATTACGTGCATGATCTACTCCTGCATCCTCCTCGTCCTCGTCCTCCTCAGTGCTCTCATCTGACGAGGTGGCGTCGTCCGTATCGTCCTCTGGTGGGATATACGATGCCTTGTCCCGGCGCACAGCCATAGCAGCTGCAATCCCTGCAGGTGAAAGTTGAATGCCTGGAGGTAGGTCGGAAGCGCCTCACTTGGAACAGAGCGATGGGCAAGCAGGGTGTCATGTCATTCTGTTCGGTTTCGCCTCTGCGACGAAGCTTTCTGCATGAAATGTGGAACCGGATCCAGATTATTATATCTCCCTCATATCCCTGATGTTTGGGTTTAGTTAACATCAAATTGAATGGTATGTTATAATATGTAATTATGTCAGTCTTTGTATTGTATGGCAAATTTAGATCCGCTACCTACCTTAATTCCACTTAAACAATGATTAGGCAAGTTCGCCGTTCGCCTGAAGGGTTGCCACGTCTATATATTTGTATCCGTTTGCTTCAGACCGAAGAAAGAAACAAACAGCCCGTCCGGGCCCGTCTGTAGCTTAACAAGCTGCTGATGTCGTCCCCCGATTTCGTCTCATTGGACTCCGATTTCACGGCACGGATCATCACCTCGTCCTGACACCTGCAGATCAGAAGTTCATTCAAAGCAAAATAATTTATCTAAAAACTTGAACTTGAACTGATTGGCAAGGCAAAACCGCAAGCAAATACATTCCTCAACACGCCTAGCCCCAAATTCCTAATTCTTCCCTCTCAGATCGGCCCGGCGCACGTTGCCACCGGCCTCCGGCAGGTGCAAACAAAGCCCCAGTTCTTCCAAAGGCTGGCGACTCGCTCTGGTAATGGTGTGGAGGGTGAGACATAGGCCAGGTTGAGCTCGTCCCCCTCCTGCAAAAGATCAACAGCGTGTAACGGTATCGGCGGGAAACAATGAAGTGTGGTATTCTCATCTGTCTTCTTAGATCTATTCCTAGATCTCTTGCAAGCTAATGGCTAGCACCATGAGTGTCACACTTCGAACCGAAAGCACCATGTATTGGTGCGTTCAGCATCTCAAATGAGGCAATGCCATGGACATTCTGCTGTCATCCGCTGTCCAGTGGAGACACTGAACCAATAAATGGAGCGCCTTGCGCCTGACTAGAGGTTGTCACCATGGTGCTGTAATCAAGTGAGGATCACGCACGCATATTATCTCAAGGAGGCACGCATGCAAATGTCACCCTGAAGCACATGCTGGTGCTCCCCCAACATGACTAAATACGAATGGATGAGAATGTACGTCCAATGGTTAATGCAAAAGATGCAGCCCTCTTGAAGAAAATGATCATGCTCTGTCAACGTAAAACATATGTTCTTGGAGTGCACATTTGGACGTAGATTTGAGCTGCCTTTCGAACTGCACATGTCAAGCTGGTGAAAAGTTAATCTCACCATTGATGGAAATGTGGCACAGAGGGGCACATCTCAAGTACCAATACCAGTATTTCCTGCTTGAATGTTGGTAATGCTCACAGAGCAGGATAGTCTTGAGACAAAGGGAATTGCAAACATAGTTGGGGGATGGCACCGGGCAGCTAGTAAGTATAGCAAGCTGTTGTCTTGAGCTGCTTGTGGTTGACAAGGGCCCACTCAACACTCAAAGTTGTTCCAAGCTGATTTCAGTTGCTATATTTGGATTGATCGAACGCAAAAAAGAGAGCACCAAACAGCCTCTGGCAAGAACATGCAAGCTGACAACCACCATTTTTGCAATCGAGAGAGGCCTGAATATCTCTAAGGGCCACCATGTCCGCCAAAGATCCGTCGTGATAGCGCATTGTAAAGTTGGGGATGCCTTGGCTGATCGGATCCAGTGTTGAAAGCACAAACAGGTTGTATTCTCATTCAAAGAAGCAAGCTTCTGTAAACCAAGAACTTACAATGTTTATTCCAGGGTGCAGCTGTGGTTTGACAGCGCGACACATGGATATAAGGCGCTTCCCTCAAACCGCGGAAGGGAAAAGGTCATATCCTTTTCTCGAGATGAAGGTCCAGTCTCTTCCGGATTCTCTGGCTCCGAATCCTCAGCAAGTGCCTTCACCTTCTCCATGGCCTCTTGACACGCTCTCAATAGGCCATCATAATGATGCCGGAAGGAAGGATCGCGTTGCATCTCTCTCAAGCGGTCATTCAAGGGATGATCCATTTGCACCCAAACGTTGGAGAGGGAGAACTGGCCCACTAGATTGGAATAGTAATCCAAGGAGAGTAGTTCAGACCATCGTTCTTCCCACAAGATCGCCACGAGAAGCTCTAATGAGGCCAGCATGACTTGCTGACGCTTCTCCCGCTTGCCCTGCGCCATGGCTGCGAGGGACCCTCGCACCGGGCCCGCTTGGCACATGGACATGGAGGGCAGGCTCTGCATGTTAAGCCAGGACATCTTCATGAATCGGCTGAAGTAGGCCATTGCCTCCCAAAGAGGAATCCCATGGTGCTCCACTAAGGAGATGATTTCAGCAATCACTTGAGCAGCAGCCACAAACTGCTCATGATACTTCCCAGCATATTGTCGGAAACACTTCCAAACGGTTCTCTTTTCAGGCGTTAGATCCGTGCACAGCACGCGATGCCACCCCTCTCGCTGTCCAGCTTCGAAACACTCTTCACTGCAAAAGACCACATCGCAATGCTCGCAGGGAAGTCGACCTGTCAGGGGACGAAGGATCACAGCCGAACGAGCGGTCGCGAGCGCAGCGCAGCGCTTGGTTTGCTCGGATCGCAGGCCTGGGACACCTGGATACCTTGTGAAGACAGAAAAGAGGAGACCTCCTTGGGATATGTGTTGATCCAAGTTTCAGAGCACCTGAAGTAGTCTTCATGTCTAAACATAATAACATATAATAACCAGAGGGGCAAGAGGCCCAAGCAAGCGGCTTCGAAGACTTGCCAGTCATTCGGGTGGAACATGGTGGAACTGGATCAGCGAACTTCCCTGCTGTTAAGTCAGAATCATGTACCATGTGTCTATTTGCAATGTTCCGCCCCAAGAGTCCCCAAAAGTAGGTCATCAGGTGGGCTGGTTTGTCAGATCTTGTGTCAACTTGCTCTGATGAAAGACGCGTATTGACTCTATGGTCACTAGCGTTGCACTATATAGGAGCATCTTATCTCTGTGCAGCGGCTTCTGAAAAAATCCAATCTGAGGAATGTAACCCAGCTCCTCTCAGGTGCCAATCTCCCTGCTCCAACTGATCAATCAGCTTTGGATCATCCAAGTAGTCCTGGGAACTGGTCCAGTGTGGAAGCCGAAAAACCGTCAAGACCTGGGCCTCATTCCTTGGCCCTTTGGAATCCATTGCTGGCATTGCTAGGTTTTGTAATTTTCACATACAAGTCCCCTTTTTCATGGTGCTTCCATGTATTCTCCACAGAACCTCATGCGTTGACGGCTCCTCCAAGTCTCCGGCGTTGACAGCTCTCAAACATCGCCGAAGGGCAGTGGCCAGGCTTCCGCAAAAGCGACGGCAGTGAGCACAAACCTCACCTGGGTGCTGTTCGGTGGCAAGCTGCGACCGTTGCAACAGCCTACACAGTCTCCCGGTTGCAAAGGCCAAATGTCCGGACGGAGATCATGAATTCTTTGTCGTGGTTGTTGTAAGTTGTTTGCTTGTTTCTTTTGAGACGCACAAAGGGCTGATGAACACGTTGTCTTTTCCAGACCATACATGGTTCATTGCCAAGAAGCAAAGACTTCGAGAGTCACTGTATTGCAGCAAGGACAGCGGTGGCTGAGCGCTGCATATGGTATCACCTGCCTCCAACTGCACAAATGGAGCCAAAGCCCAAGGGTACATTCTTGGGCACTGTGTAATATCTCGGCATCTTGCGGATTAGAACATGGATGAACATGGTCCGAACGTGCGGACCAAGTGCCATCCCTTCCATTCAAACGACTGATCAACTGAGTCCACAACACTCGTGATCGGGGTTGGACCCACATATTACTTGCATTCAAGTTGATTTACCAGGCCGCTGCATAGAGTAATCCCAATGGATTGCAACGAATGTCGCAAATGCTTACAACTCCTGGCATGTGGAACTGTGTAAATGCACAGTCTCAAATGGAAAAAAAAATAACATTCGCAACCATTCATCGCATACACCCCCTATCCATACCATCTTCAACCATCTTAGCCGCTGCCTTCCCATCTCACCACCCACTGCCTTCACAGCGCGGCCGGCACAAAGTCCCCGGTTCCGCGGGTCGCGCAAGCGTTCCGCACGGATCCGACCCTCACGGAAGGGGGTGTAGACCTGAGACGGTGCGCATTCGGGGGTGACCGGGCACTGTGAAGATCTCTGCGGAGCCGGTGAAGATCTGTTACAGTAAGTGTCCGATTTGGCAGGTTCTATGCTGAGACCGTCTTTATACTGCCAGCTGCAGTGCCCTTAATGTTGATCTTTTGTAGGAATCTCTCCTGTAGGAATCTCTTGCCTGTGCCTGGATGCTTTGCAAAGAGGTCTGGTGTGTGCACTGCGCCTCTCTCTCTCTCTCTATCCCTCTCCCTTTGTGACTGTTCGGGTGTGGTAGCATGAGTTTACTATACTTCAGAATGGCATGGCTTGGAATCTGTACCCCCACGAAGTCGTGTCCCTTTCGGACTATAAGTCGTGTCTCATCTCTTCTGACCATTTCGCAGGTAGAGAGTCGCACACTTGGTGGCGACAACTGCCTGACCACTCCAAGTGGCTTGAAGATCCAACTGCCTAATCTCTTTGTATCCAGAAAACAACATGTATCCAGATCCAACTGTTCCAAAGCCATCAAGGTTTTAGCCATTTACAGAAAGCGAGCTCACCATCTTTTCCAGTTTCACGCAGGGCACATGGGAGGGAGGAAGAACCGACTCAGACTTCGATCCGATCCGCAGGGCCATGTGTGAAAGCTCGGGATAGCTCGGGTTACTGGGTCTCGTCGGTGTCGTGTTCCAATTTTCGAAGCAAAGCCGGTATGTCTGAACTCAATGTTGCGAAAGTGAGGGTAGGAATCACCACAGGAAGAACTGTGTCATCCGATGGAAGAGGTTCTCCTGCGAAAGAGCTGGAACTGCGGGCCGATGTCCGCGTGCCATTCATGGGGATCTTTCTGAATGGATCAGTGGATTCCAAGTCACCTCAGGATGCCGACCAGGCCATTGAGAGCTCTGTTCTCCGGACCAATCTGGTGGTGTAGAAGCACAGTAGCCTGCACAAGCAGCAAACATTCCACTGATAGGTGGCCAGAACAAAAGGAGCACTTGGGTATTGTGTCAAAGCACACAAATCATGCATTGTTGTTACGATTGACAAAAATTCCATGAGCTCTCAGTTTTGCAATGAGAAGCAGCCAAAACGACACTGAAATCCAGCCTGGAAAGCCATGCTTGGGATTTCCCAAGGCTGAGTAAAGGATCGCCGACGGCATTTGCGCCATCTGGGACCCCAAAAATGCGAGAAAGTCGGTTGAACCATCTAGGCCTGGTTCAAATCTCTCAAGGAACTTGGTCTCTTTCTGGGAATGTGACATCCGAATAGTATTTCCCGTCTGAATGAAGCGAGGTCTTTGTGTCAACAAATGACAACAAGTCCGTTTTCATCTCATGAGCTCATGGAGTACTGGTACCTGAAGCCAGGATGTGAGGCAAACCAACGAAACAAATGGTTTCAGCTGGAAACCTGGCGCACAAGCGAGTGTAAATAAAAATGGCTCTTGTCTTTACATTACTTTCCATGGTGCACATTCGCAAGCTGAGCATGATTAGGGACAAAGTAGGATGTGTCTGCCTGACCTTCTTCATTCAGCACATGCACCTCCTTTAGAATGTTCACATTGACATTTACATGAACATCTCTGTTATATAAGTCTATTCTTTTGAAGCCCAGCCAAACCATAATGTCATGAAGTGTTTCAGGCTTTTTGTCAATGCAAAGGTGCCTAGCCGCTGCAAGTGGTCGAGCCACCAGCATGTCTCAAGTGCATTTGTGGCTTGGACCAAGCCTTGAATTGAAGCCGCCGAGGCCACTGCATCAAGGCTGGAAAGCCTCTTGACTTCTGAAACCAGCGCAAGAAAAGTGACCAATGCCATGGATCTGACTGTCGATGTCAAAAGGGAGCTAAAGAAGAAGGCATCCACCAGCACATCTTGTGCTCTGGCCGTTCCCAAGAACTGCAGACCTTCTCGCCAGCAAGAACTTTGATCAAACACATCAACAGCTGCGTTGTAAGCCACCGACTGCCCTGGGTGATTCTGCAGATTCGACCATCTCTGCCCACTGAGGCGAACTCTGCCCATCTGTTCAAGCTGAAGAATGGTCTCACGCCACTTGCGAGCTGCTCGGAGAGCACAAAAACACGCACTCTCCCGCTCGTAGTCGGTTGTGGTCCCCTGGTGTGTTTGAAGAGAATATAGGGCTATAGAGTGGCGCCATGCCCCACTCTTCTCACAAGCAGTGAGTACTACGTTCAGATCCACTGCATCAACCTCAAGTGTATCCATTCTCATCACCTGCAATGTTCTTAAGGCCCCGTGCCAAGAACTTTCAAATTCTGCCCAGATTGGTGACACGCACCGGGAATGGCCATGATAATCACCATTTGCCTCCCAACCAATCGCCGTTTGCCATGGTGCTCCCCGCACCGCACGGTTCACTGCAAGGAAAGCAATCGTGTCCAACTCCACCAAAGATGTGAGCAGCAGGCTCATCAAATCTAAGGACAATGGCCAGAGTGTCTGCATTCCAAAACAGCCTAGCCACACCAGAAAGGCCAGCAGGCCACACCATAAAGGCCAAAAAAGTGAAAGAGAACATAAAGGAACTGATTGAACGTGAAATCCTAAGATAAACACTCAACCGAATCCTTTTTGCCCAGCCCTGCCAAGGGGCCCAAGACTGGATTGCAGCTGTCCAGGCCTGTAGAGCACACTACCTGGAAAGGCCAGACCAAAGACACATCATCAGGATATTGGATTCCAAAGAATCCCACAACACTGAATTCCCTGCAAACAACCTCTGGCCAATGTGATTAAACAGCCAGTCACTCGCCCTTGATTTGCCAATATCAATCAATGGTGGAAATTTTGGTGAATCTACAGTAGCAAAGGAGGATACAGGTGGTGCTGCATTGGCCCGAACATGTGGCCATGCCGGTGGCTTTGCCTTTCTTTTCAATCCATTCCTATAAGATCCATTGCCGCGTGAAACCTGCGACTGGTGACCTCAATACCGTAATACCTCATTTACCCTCCAGAAACACTTGCACAATGAAACAGCAACAGCAACAACAAACATTCCCGAGCTTGAAACCAGTATCTTCTTCCCGGCAATTCTTTTCGGCATCTTTCCACATGACTTGAAACCGATGCCCGACAGAACGGTCTGAAAGAAGCGGAACAAAATGGCTTCATCGGCACACCAATGATCACATGCTTCGTCTGATCACCAATGGTTTTCGCGTACGTTTCGCCCTGCAGCGCCTCATCCAGCTGCGCAACGGCTCTTTGCCAGCGCGAGGATTGGGCTTTCAGGGCCTGACGGCAAGGTCTTGGCATTCGCATTGGCGAAAGTCCACTCGGTGGGCAGTCTACCTCCAAGGAACAGTTGAGACAGGGCACCACTTTGGGCTCTGAGCTCTGCACGATAGTGAACGTGATCTTATCTGCTTGCAAAGATCCTAAGTCTAAATTCTGAATCTGTAGTTTTTCCAGCCGGGTTTCAACTCATAGTCGTTGGTATGCTCAAGGACCGCTACACTTGCAATTGAGCCGCGTGAATACAACTGGCCAAAGTGCGTCAAGGCCATTGACCAAATCGAATTCTCGACGAAGGCATGCATGACCTGGGATTGGAGATGTACTGTGTCACTTTGCTGTGCCTTTGCAGTACAAGTGCTGGCAAGGTACGGCAAAGCTGGCTGTGATGTGATGTCTCCATGCAATAATGGAAGGATCCCAATATTCAATATTACTGTATGCAGCTAGCATACCAAACAATCTGAAACTGTTGCTGGACTATGTTGAATGGATACTGACACTTGGAACACAACCCCAACCAACCTTTTGGAGGAAAGAACTCTCAGCATTCTCAGCCCAACAAAAACAGACGCAGCAAATGCAGCAAACGCAGCAAAGTGGCTGTGTTGTAAGTGAAGAGGCTTCGTGGCAACTCCGGACGCTGAACCACATCCAGAATCCGCTTCCAGGCTGACGCCTGCACTGAAGTCACTGGGTGTCCGGTTGGATGCATGGTCATGGGCTCAGGAGGTTGGCTCTCGAAAGGCATACAACAAGCCAGCAAAACGGCCGAGGGATTTGCTATTTCAAATCTGTGAGATTCTTTCAACATCAAAGATTTCAGGGATTTGGTCGCCATGCCACTCAATGAGCCGGAGTTTTTTAGCCTGACCATTGCTTCTGGGACGCCGATAGACCGCCTCGCCCCAGGAAGAGACCAAGAGCGTCTGCGACATGACATCCTTAGACCCAACAAAAGATCCACCAAAAAGAAAATCCGCCACCTGCAACAGCGGTGTTTTTAGAACAAATAAACATCTTAAAAGAAAAAAGGATGGCCAGGCGCTTGGCCTGCAAGGGCCTGCAAGGCATACCCTTTTCGGGTCGTCCGATCCACCGCCTAAGCGTCTCTACCCATGCCGATCGAAACGTCGCAAAGCCCTCGTGCGTGCGAGTCTCTGGCTGCACGAGTGTGTTCAACATCTCCCCAAAGAGGCCAAGGACAAGGCACCACCTGCGATGAGTGCAGAAATCGATCTGTGGATCCACAGATGGATCTGATCCAAACAAGGAGATCCTCGACGCACGAACCCTTCAGAAGTGGCGCTGTGGCTTGCAAGAGTTTGCTGATCCCCAACATGGCAAAGGCATGTAAAGCAATCATGTCATTGTGTGTCAAATATTTATGCTACACTGCTACACCTTTAGTCCACCTGCATGATTGATCTCAGTCTTCAAATCCTCTGCGGCAAAACCAAGGACACCCCATTGCACCATGACATGAAGATTCTGTTCATGGTCATTGAATCACTGCATTCAAGTTGACCCAGCTAACCTCTCACATCCCTTCATGAAGGCGTTGTAGCAGTAGTGGTTCCATGCCACCTGAGCAATCACACTGGGTCCACTGAGTCTACTGGTGACTTGACTTCCAAACAAATCGTCTGGAAGTCTCAAGCATGTCTTAGCTCCAAGACCTATGGCTTCAGACTGCTTTAGATCCTCCTTGTAGTGATGGAACTGAAACTCGATTCACAGGCAGTGACGGTGTTCCCCATTTCCCTGGCTGTACTGAAGCTACAAGTAAAAAGATTGCTGCAGTCTCAGGTGTATGACAACATTTGACATGTTGGTGGAGACCTAGAACATCCGCGACTCCGTGAACAACTCGTGACGCCTCTCGTAAATGAAGAGCACCAGCCCAGTGACCAACCTGAAGCCAAACTGCAAAACGTTTCCAAAGGCATAACAAAGCCCTAGAGGAAACAGCCGATATTGGAAGTCCCTGTCTCTGAAAACTCTCTCTCTCGGACTACACTGACCACCAACAACTACATGGTTCTTCTCAAAGTAGGACCACGTGACTAATTACGTGGCACCTGCTGAGTGTCTTGTTGTATAAGTATATATATATATATGTGTCTTTATGTACCTTTATGCTGTGCAGGGCACCTCCAATCTTTCGCTGGCCATGCAGCTTTGAATGGCACCACTGCAACTCACAGCATCCGCTTGCAGCCTGGTGCGATAAAAACGATCTGGCCGATGAGGGAGTCCACAGGACCCTGAAAGGTACAGGATTGGTGAAGTCCCTTCATACATCCTCCCACTCAATGCACTCAATGCCGGCCAGATCATGTATCCACGATGTGTCCTTGACTTGCGGAGGGCACTGCCACTGTAAATGCTTATAGCTTATAAATGCTTGCTTAATAGGTTCTCAAGCGTTTTGAAAACGCAATTATGATTTAGAAGTGGTACAGTTTTGTTGACACTCGATTAATGTATCAATCATGCAACCTTGCAATTGAATGCGACCTGTGCACAATACCTGGCTCACTGTGTTTCACACACTGTCTACATGGTGCGAAAAGCCAGCTCTGCATGTACATCACTTCATGAGGCATATATAATGCTTTTCTCTATAAAGGACCTACCAGTACAATGAACACATCCCACCTCACCATGGGCAATGCCAAAAGGTGATGAAGCGATAGTGGCCACTGGCCCTGGTGCAGAGGTGGGCCAGTGTGTCCAAAAGACGGGGGGCAAAGCTGGAGGAATGGAATGATGGTGGTACGGTACCAGTTGCAAGACGTTCGACAATTTCCTGGAAACAACAAATTCCACCAGAAAAGATCTCCCGCAACAGCCGTTCTACAGACCACTTCCACCAATCTGCTTCCAACTTCTCCCGAAAATGCTCCAAACTCCACCAAGAAAAACATATAATAGTAGCTTTATTGTTCCTAGTAGTAAGGCCAGGAGCCGCTAGTAGCGTCCTTGTTCCTAGTAGCGATGCCAGGAGCCCCTAGTAGCTTCTTGTTCCTAGTAGCTTCTTGTCTCACCACCGTCCGAGCGTCACGGCCTCGCGGAGCGTCTCCGCCGCCCGAGTGAGGCTCACTGCATCGCAGCCCACGCCGCTCCTCGAGACTCGGCAGAGGCTGGGAGCCGGGCCAGAACAAACTCATTAAAAAAAGAATAAGCTACTAGGAACAAAGGGCATCGCTACTAGGAGCAAGAACACTACTAGGGGCTCCTGGCCTTACTACTAGGAGCAAGAAGCTACTGCAATCTTCTTTTGAGTTAATAATAAGGCCTCCAACCTAATAGCGATGGCCTCCAACCTAATAGCGCTGTGGCTGGGAGCTGGGGTGGAAAGCTTCACACAACAGGCAAGTGACCAATGATGACCAATGAATACAGGAGATTTGACCTTCAAGAACTGAGACTTCACCTTCCTTGAATGGATCAACTGCCTGCAAGCTTCATGCTTGGCAGTTGGTGTCCGCCTACATCGTGGCGTACTGCCTGGGTCTTCACTCCTCATTTTGTCGATGAATGTGACGCATTGCTTCCAGTCGCTTGGAATAGCCTTTGCTGATCTTGAGCAAGAAACCAAGAACGCAGCTCTTGTGGAACCCTGATGCTTTTAATAGCAACGGCCTCCAACCTAAGAATGGCCTCCGTCCTAATAGCGATGGCCTCCAACCTATAAGGAGCACTAGGGAGATGGTAACATTGTCAGCGACGTGCCACCAACAAAAGCGTGCTCTTTCTCTTTAATTTAAAGATCTATAATTAGTCTCTCAACTGAAAACAAAATCACTGAGTCCTTACCCTGGTAGTTTCTTAATTTCTACAACTTTTCTTGTAAATCGTCATGTTTGATGAATGTTCAAACTTTAATTTGTTTATTGGCCACGAGAAGGTTAACAAAACAACAAGCAATAAATAATCTCTGCCACAATTTGGAAATGGATTCGGCTCAATCCAAGACACGCTGAAACAAAAAAACAAATAGTCCCGCCCAAAAAATGTGTCTTCATAACATACAAACAAACAAATAACGGGCTATATAGGGTACTGTAGAAACTCTTGCGCTTGAGGAACGATCCAACATGCAATAATTATGGGGTTCGACAATAGCACTTGTTGCAAAAACTTCGAACATGAGACCGGTTGTTAGACTTTTACCAATACGATTAGGTGTGTCTTCCCAAAAGGCCAATGGGACAGCGGATCAACGATCCCGTTGCTGTCCATGACTTAGCCGGCCCAAAGCATGCATTACACGTTTCTGGTATCTCTGGATTTCCTGCGACTGATCAACCAGCTCGGTGCTATCTTCAATTCTAAAAACCTTGGAACCCACGACGACGAGCGCGAGCGTGAGCTGTGTCCGGTAGCTAGGAGCGAACTGCCTTACTTAACTATATAAGAAGGCGCCGGGCACAATTATGTAATAAGCAGGCTGGCAGGGCCACGGGCCAAAAAAAAATTGGTCGAATCTGAATCTTTATTGCGAGGCCACGACTCCGACCTGTTTGCTTCGGAAGCACCTGACGTTGACCCTCCAAAATCAACAGGGGCAAACTATCAAGACAGTACTTAATACGTGTATTTAAGTGTGTATCCTGTATCCTGTTTTGAATTTGCCTTCACGAGACTATGGGCCTTCTTGGCACCGTGGTTGACTTCCCAAATGTCAATATTGTGCAACAGACTATAACGTTACCTGAAGAACCAATGCAGTTCTTTCAAACACAAATGACATCACCAATGTATTCATCCAACATCACCCACGGACCTTAGACCAATGAGAATGGAATCGACATCCGGTTGGAAACTGCTGTCTAATAACCTGTAATTTAAGCACAAAATTCGACACGTCAAACATGTGTTTGCTTTCGATTAAGTCCTATTTCAAAAGGATTGGACAAATACCTATCAAATCATCATTTGGAACCACCGATGGCAAAAAGTCAAGCCCGTAAAAACGTTTGCTTGTGTCAAATTTGGAAGGAGAAAAGTGAAGCGTGTGTGGCAATGCCTACCAAAAGCATGTAACCCTGAAGCCGGAACAAACCTTGATTTACCACGTGTTTCTCCCCATTTACCCAAACTCTCAAACTCCAGGCAATTATATAAGTAGCACATAGTAACACCAAAATACCAAATAGACAAAGGAACTCTGTCCTGGAAACCAGTTCTATCTAGTAGGATACCATGATACAAGACCAGGGAGTGCTTTCTCAAGCCGATGCGTTGTGCAGCTGCAAGGCACCGCGTTGTAGGAAGCGACACTGTGTTCGAGTCGAAGGGAAGCCATGGACCAGAAGACATGCAAGGCCTTGCATCGAAGATGGCAAATCGATGTCGAAGAATTCCTGGTCGCTGTGACAGATCGGGTCAGCTATGGTTATTTCTAGACCATACTAGAACAATGCACACTTTGGTACAATTGCTGGCATTCAGCAACATTGTCAACTTGACAAAGTCACCCACGTGTATACAATATATATATATATCGCATCTTCAAAAAAACGGCATACATACGTGCATGGTCATCTGTTGTGTTGCCAAAATAGAATCTGAAAAGAAGGAAAACGTACCGTTCCGTACTCCGAACAGTACTCTCATGTACATATGAGCTGATGCTTTTGGGTCAATGGCGAAGTCAGGCAGCCCCCAACCCCTGTATCCTCAAGTCAAACTCCAAATTTTTGCTGAGAAAAAACAATATTTTCTTGTGAGTTACTAATAGCGATGGCCTCCAACCTACTTGTGATGGCCTCCACCCTAGTAGCGATGGCCTCCAATCATGTTTTTGACACAATACAACATGAAAGCCACTGAAAAATCCCATCACAATTGAGTTCAGATTGGCTCCACCTCTCCCATCAGTCGCAACGAACGAAACAAACCTTCGCAGGTGATGTCGGGCCCTTCTCCGCCTTTGGCCAGTCCAACTTCTGCGACATGGCGATGGAGGTGACCTCGGTGGCCTCACATTTCCTGTCATGGGCCGCCCAGCGGCGGTAAGTGGATGTTGACGGTAAGATTCCCTGAGGAAGAGACACCTAAGAGGTCAAACTCATGCAAGTCAAACTCGTGCTTTTATATACAATATAGTCTCTATACATATATATATATATATTAGCTACCATCCCCCTGTACCTACTTTTAGCCCTTGTAGGCAAGATGTGGAATCCAGAAGAAGGGTGCATTGCTTTGGGTTGGTGATGTGCAGGTTAACAGACGCTGGAAGCGTAGATGTCTGGAGGGCGGCGTGGCCAGGAAGGTGAGCGTTTTTTCGCCTGATAATTGTTCAAGCGAATGCTGAGAGAACATGAACATGGAATTTAGGGTTGATGAGGAAGATTTGCGGAAGCATGAAGGGAGCAATGTAGTGCACTCTTTTTTCCCTTTGCAGACATCTATTTGGACGTGAACCATTGCATGGACCAAGGTGCCCGAATGGATCCAGAGGTCCTTGCCCTGTAGCCAGTAGTGGTACTGGGCTGAGCGCAATTTCATGCGCTGCCAACGCGACAAGACGGGTTGATTGCCAGTCTGTCTTTACTTCCAGCAGCGATCGATGATTTGTGTGCCCGACTTGACCTGGAAAACCTTTTTGGTGTCAGGCAGTCGATGGCGCTTCAGTTCTACATGCATATTTGGGCGCAATCCACTTAAACTTGCCACAGATTTTGACACGTTGCTTCTTATGAACAACTCTGTCGTGAAGCACGCCAGGGACATGAGTGCAAAAATAACTCTTCGCAGAGTCGGTGTGCAATACGACACGGCGGTCTTGCAGCAACTTTTTGGCAAGCGGTTGCCACTCGACTTTCCGAAGGGCACCGGGACCAGGTGCTCGAAGCTGGGCCAAGACTGGGCGCAAACGATGAAGTACCAACGTGTTTGTTCTGCCTCTCTGGACAAAGCCGCACCACTGTTCCCATTGCATTTGCTTGTTGGCCACCTTCTTGTCAAAAGTGGCCTCGTCGGCTTCTACATCAGCCCACTTCTGGTCTGCACCAAAGCGGATCAATTTTTCTTGCTGCAAGACCCAAGCTTCACGTAGTTGGCCAAGTCGCTTCGCCATGTCTTCAATGACTTTGTCGTTCACGTGAAGAAGCCGGTGAACAGCAGGATGGGAAACACGATTCAAAAGGAGCAGGAGTAGAGCTGCCTGGGTTGCCAAAGGGGTGGCTCCGCCCTGGCGTTCAACAAAAAGAGGATGCCCATGATGTACGTTTTCTTAGCATTGCATCTGTGTTTCGGCAATTCACTGCCGCGCTTCTCCGGCACTGCTTAGGATTAAATAAGGGAGGTCCTAGGACCTCCTAGGACCTCCCCAGACGTAGTGGTAGCATATCCCTATCTTACTGTAGTACTGTAGTACTGTAGAGAATGCACAGGCCGTTTTGTTTCCCAGAAGATGTGAACATGTCACAAATGACTTGTGCAAAATGCTCGTGTGTATATATATATATACAAATTAATGATAAAAGCATGCAAATACCAGTAAAAGTACAAAAAGGGTAGGTACGGGGGGGGGTGGTACCATATATTAATATTGGTATGTCTGCCAAAAGACCTCTTAGTATCTTTCAAACAACCATTCAAGTCGGCCTAAAAACTCAGACCCACCCATTGGGACCACCAGTCCTAGGTTGGAGGCTGTCTCGCCAGGTTCCAGCTCGAAGAAGGACGTTGTGACCTTGGACAGTGCAACCGACCAAGATCAACCAACATGCGGCGTGGATGACTTGCACTGTCGGCTTTTGACCATGAATACAGGCCCATGCGCAAAAAAACGTCTAATGGTCCTAATGGTCGCGACTTGGTGACTGAATCTCTTTAAATGTATAAACAAGCTCTGAAACGTTTCAGTGTCGAGTCCACTTTGATACGACGAACGGCGCGGATTGCACTGTTGCAGCAAGCCCACACACTGCCGGTGCAGGCCATGGAACTGATGATGTCACTCCTCAAGAAGGAGGTGGACATCCTGTCGCTGGATGTGTTGCATGCTGTGGAGGTGTGATGCAACAAAACGTTCTCATGTTTAAGCAAAGCAAAAGCAGCACGCTCATTGATACGATTCTCCAGCTCAAAAAAGAGGTCCTTACTATCAGCATGCAGCATGCTCGGAGAAAGCAAGAGCGCGTGACGATCTACTGTGTATAAGTAACTCTAGTAAACCCAGTGCAGCAAAGTCCATGTGGTCTGCAGCGAAGTCCAGTCCCGTAATCCTTAAAAAAAGGGATAATTACAATGTTGGAAGGAATTATGATGGATCAGCGCCCAGCGCTTCACCTGTGGCGACGAAATCGAAACGCACAAGGCGTGGCCAGCCTTTCCGCCAAATTGCAAACTTCTTGCCACCTCCAACAAAACTAGTCAGTGGGTCAGTGACCGTCTACAATGCTGAACCTATGAAGACACAGCTCTTGAACTACTAGTTTTCATCACTACTTTCTGTGATCAAGGAGACCACACATGCTGATATTCTGGTTTATTCAGGTCAAATGGGGACAAATTAAATGACTTCTTTCAGCACTTAAGAACTCTCAAGGCATGTGAATTGTGGTTGAATTCAACTCGAGATAGAACTTTGTGTTCTCATAAGTCACCATAAACCACTTGTGATGTCAAGTATCATCATGTTCATTGTCATCAATCGCAATTTCCAACAAAGTCATAGTCAAAGTGAGACCCAATGTTCATTCATCCACTCTAGAGAACCGGTAGGATGATGTGGAATAAGTCACTCTTCCATCCCACACAAGCCTTGGGAGTCATAATAAGGAGTCCGTCGCTACGGCCGGTAGGGGTGCCGGTGGTGGAGGAAGCAAAGTTTTGAGGACGTGAAAAGAAACAAGCCCTCAGAAATCTTTGTATTGAATGAACCACCAACTGTGTTCTTGATCACTTAGCCCAAAAGACTCGTGGGGGCTCTGGTTGGCAGCAGAATCAAGGGTACATTTCATCCTCATGACTCCTATAGAATGCCATTCGAGAAGGTCAAGTCGTTGGGATGACGATGCGCCTCTGCTGCTTTTGTAAAGCTCCCATCGCCGAATTCAGGTGGATGACATTGAGCTGCAGTCTTCCTCGTTCAGCACTCCTCAATGCCTCCAGCAGCCGAGCTTGCTGACCGACAATATATATCATGGGAGAATCAGCTTCTGCTTTCTGTCTTCAGTCAAGCAAGAGTTTCCACCTCCATTCAATGCTGGCATCTTTGAAGCAGTTCATGGAATCCTCAAAGATTCCAGAGACATGATCGCTATTAGGTTGGAGGCCATCACTATTATTGAGGGACATGATGTCATCACGCACCTGAAAAATGTCGTCCACAGTCAGCTCCTTCAATCTGCCAGTCAACCTTGTCGGGTGTCTGCCATCTGGTTCTTAGGCGTACTCTGCTGTCTTGAATCGAGTCCCACGATGGGTGAAAAATGAGGGGGGTGCAACTGTAGAAAGAGAGGGATGACACACAGCAATTCTTAGTAGGTTGGAGGCCATCGCTACTAGGGTGGAGGCTATCGCTACTAATTAGGTCGGAGGCCATCACTATTGAATGAAAAGTGTCAACCCATAATCATAAGGTTCACATGAAGATCCGAAGTAGTTGCCTTTTGGCTCAAGCGCCAACAAAAATGTGGCAGCAAATCGATTGTTCGGTGACGTGCCACAACCTTCTGTGCTTTTTAAACTTTTTAGTGATCTCCAAAATACCCTTACAGTAAATATACCGAACTTGTACGTCATGAGGATTACTGTATCTTCATATCAAACTGCCACTTGATCGAAGCATCTTCCACGAAACGAACACATGCTTGGAGCCGGCCTCGACTCCGCATCCATCGGTTGCCATTCGTTGGGTGTGTCAATGTGGACCGCAAAAGAGACCGACAACAACTAACAACATTCATGACAACATGTGGGTGTGTACTAAAATAGGGAGACCTCCAAAACACCTGGAAAAAGGAACATAGACCAAAACCGGTTAGTTGGGTGCTCCCTGGGCTCCCTATTGAGTATTAGGACGCAGCCATATCACAACCGTCATGGTTCCCTGTTGCGTTGACTCCTTGACTCGGGCCAAAACTGGGACGGCGCAGCTGGGCATCTGAACTGAAAGAGATCACATCCACCGGTTTCAGTGCGCAGGATATTGGTTTTCAATGGTTTTCATGTGTGTTCCTGCCATGACATCGACTCCGGCATGTGTTTCTAGTTGACAGGGGATGGGATCTGGGATCTCCGATTTCTTCCTCTAAGAGTTTAGAAAAGATTGCATCATCGGCTGCGGATACAGGATGAAGAACCAGAAACTCCTCAAACCTGGTAGTTTCCACCATCTTCTTTAACCTCTCTGGCGAGCTCTGAAGGTCCCAGGTAGTTGGTGCAAAGAAACACCCAAAAGTCATAGATCTCCGAGCGGTGAAAGAGCTCTGACAAGCTCCTTTTGTATCCGCCAGTTCCTGTTTCTTCCTCCCGGCAGTGTCTCCTTAGATGGATCGAATCCGACAGAAGTTCCAAACCAACCACCCGGGCTCCCGTTCATCTGGATCAGACAGGACGTCACGAGAGACGGGGACGTCCCAACCGGTCGCCGGTCGAGGCTGATCACTGAAACCAGGTGATGGGAGACACCGTGTCGTCTCCCTTTCTTAGTTTGTTCTTACGCCCACTATATATATTGACTTGGTGGTTCACCCATGTCATTTGCACCAAAAAGCAAAGCACTGTGCCACCTTGGTCAGGTCTGTGCGTCAGGTCAGTGGGCATCTCCTGGACCCACTGACGGGTCACGCAGATCTATGTCAATCGGCCAGGCCCTTCGGTTGAACTGTGGAACAAAGCTCGGGGATCTCCCAAAACACAAAGACCACCCAGGACAACAGTGAAAATAAGGAATGGGACACTGGCATGGATCAGGAGCAACGTGAATATAACTTAGCACTGCTAACCACCTACAGAAACCTTGAAACAACAATTCGGCCGCCTGACTCAATGTTTGCGGAATGTGGACATTGTTTCAGGCTTTGCGAGCATTGAATGCATCACATAGGTGGAGCGGCGCCTCACTTGTGGGATGGTGTGGGAGAATATTGCTGTACTGTATTTGATCTCAATGCCTGTCTAAATGAGAGACGAGAGATCATCAGAAAGGTCAGAGCTAAAAATGGGATTCAACGGATGAAATGATAAAGGGTGCATGACGACCCAATGGGTCGTACCTGTGCCGTGGCCTCACCGTTCTATTTCGGCGAAATGCCAGGCCCAAACAAGTATATACATCTATCGGGCCGGCCATCTGGTTTCTCCAGGTAGCTTGATACAAGGATCCATGACTGATGACTGATCAGACATGCAAACAGATTTGAACAGGAATCCATGTTTCGTTGAGACTACGATTGATTTGGGGTTGACCCGACCAAAATAGACGGAGTAGTGGGAGGTCAAAGTCCTATCCTCTTGGGGCTCCAGATTTTGACCAAAGCCATGTCCTTCCGTGATTTGTGTGCAAAGTCAGCGTCTCGTACACGAATGCTGTGGCATTCCCCCAGCTCATCCGATATGGAGCTTGAAAGACCAGGCTCCAGCCTTACTGATGAGCAGCCAAGTGAAAGCGTATGTTCGTGTGGGTGGGTCCAGAACTATGATGGGAAGGTTGGAAGTGGCTTATCCTGATCCTTGCTGCCTTGGTGCCTTACGGAAGGCCTCATGTCTTTAGTTAATGCCTAGCTTGGAAGTGGCCAGCCAGCTACAACCCTTGCGATCCCTTTGCTTCACTGAACTGTATTAACAATAGAGCAAAGTGCTAGCAGAAATGTGTCTTTCCAGGTCACGTCTGACTTGTAGATTCTATGTGACCTCGCTTTTTGAGAACAAATCAACCAAATATTCTTGGAGCCCCAGCCATCAGACTTTGGAAGAGGTTGTGACAATAGCACCACGCGGCAGCCTCCAGGTGCTTCAGCCAGCCGCCTGAAGGGTTCAACTGAGACTGAGACTTCCAAAGGCTGTCACATGGAGAAAGCAGTGCTGAACCGAGTTTTTTGTCAGGTTGGGATTCTCCATGGGCTTTTCTTTCGGTAATCATGTCCAATTGCTGGAGACTTCATCTATACACCCATGCCGAGGTAGAAAGGTTTGGTGTCTTTTGCTCTGACAAACAGACTGTCCAGGACGCAGTGACTGCCCATATGGTGCGTGAATCACTGCTACAAACAGGGAAATCAGGAGCAATGCACACAGAGCTATCTGGGCTGTGCAAAGGCAACCGCAGAAGCTGCTCCGCATTGAATTGGCCAAATTCAGCTCTGCAAAGGAATCAATCCAAACTAGGTGCTTCAGGATGAATCAACAATGAATCAACGAATATTGGGGCTCAAGCTTAGAGAGTCAGCATTATTGGAAGAATATCGAGAGCCACTAAAATGGCTGTATGAGCAAGTCTGCTTGACAGAACTTGCTGAACGACTACTCAGTTGGAACATCTGCCTTGTCAGTCAGACCACGGACGTCCATGCATCCTTTGGTTTCTCGACTGTACGGCTTCCAACATAGGTGACACAACTCTTCTCACATCTTTCACATCTTCCTCGCAGCTCAATGTGGCTCAATATGGCTCACCCTGTGTTTGGGAGGGCTTGCTTTTTTTGCCACCAATAGTATTGACTCTAGTAACAAGTTCATCGCTAGTAGTAACAAGTGCCTTACTAGTAGTAACAAGAACGCTAGTAGAAACAAGTGCATCGCTTCTAGTAACAAGTGCCTTACTGTTTTGTCTTTTCTTAGTCAAGGCATCTTCCAACGTCCGAAGCATCCGAAGCGCGATCTCGACGTCTCACCTCAAAGGCCTCATCGTCGCCTGCGCTCGCTGTCGTTGTGTCGTTGTGTCCGTGAGCAAAGCCCTTCGGAGCAGCATGGCCAGCATGGCCTATTTTTGCTCAATTTTTTTTTAAAGCAGCACTTCGAAATACCGTGCCACAAATCACTTGCCCTCGGCCTGAACAACATCATTTTTGTGATAAAGAATGATAAGCAGAATCATTCCAACAAATTCTGAGAGAGTTCCAATCAGTACGCAACAATGAGATCACCCCATCCATCACAGTTTACGGTAGATGACGGATTGTCAGGGTCACCTGAAAGCATCCATTGGCATCGAAACATCGAGGGAATATCAGGTCCGACTCCGTATGCGGAGCGAGCAATGATGTGTGAGAGTCTGTGGCAGTCTGCATCCCACAACAGAGTGGACACTCTCCCAGACCCAGTTGACATTCCTCCATACTGTAGTGTCTTGTTCCATTCCAGTTCAACAAAGTATACAAGTGATCCTACTTCTAAGTGATCTTCGAAGTATATACCAACCATTTCTTCAGGGATCTTCTGGGTCGGCTTTGTTGGAAGGATTCCACCCATCACCAGTCCAGCGTCTGTTCGATTTCTCCGTCGGCGGAACCCATCACCGTGCCTCTGGGGAGCCCAGGTGGAACCCATGCTCGCCTGGGTGATCAAGCGGTTTCTGCGGATGGTCTCCCTTTGCGGATGGTTTCGGGGTTATTTTGGGGATCTCTGGACAGGTTGGAAGACAACATCTAACGCATCTTGGTAGATGCTGATTTAGGAGCCAAATGGAAAATTGATGACGAGTGTGAGGTCTAGAGCATGGAGCTAGCTAAACCTCTGGGAAAAAAATATCGTCTTGATGGCTATGTGATCATTGGTGTTCTGCTTCTCTTCCTGGCTGCCTTACTGCCCCAGGGGAACGCTCCCCCGCAAATCGACTGGCTCCGCAGACTCGCCATAGATTCATAGGCCAAGATGCATGAGGTCCAGACCTAGCACCTCAGCCATGTGCAACCGGTTCATGGTGCGATTTCCCACGCTTTCAATACGGGTGCCAGTGAATACCTGTAATCAAACAAAAGCAGCAAATGCAGGAAAAGAACCAATGTCGCGGCGGCAATTATACCTGGGGTGTCCTTTGATCACTCAAGGGACTTTGCTGCAATTGCTTGAAAGATTCCAGCAAAAAAGCAACAAATCGAAACACAATGCAAGACCCTCCCCCTTTTATGCCGTGCGGAACTACTGGTGGCGATGAATCGCGACAAACCCAAAGAGAGCGGCAACAATCATCTGTTTTGAATACTGTATACTTGGCATTCAAATATACACCATGCATGCATTTTACTTGCGAGTTCTCGAGTACTTGTGGGTTTGACACTGCAATATCGGCGCATTACATTTTTGTGTTGATCTCCACTGAACATTGGTTTCCCAAAACATACTACGTTCAAGCCATTCAGTGTTGCTGCTCAAAGGCACCCCTTTGCTTGCTCCGTCTCAGTGTATTGTCCGTAGTAGTTTGGGCTAAATCATGGATTGAATATCTACAGTAGTCTAAGCACACTGGGTCCGAATGGGCTTCACCGCGCCTCTACAAGCCCCACCCAAAAAACATATCACTCATCTCAGATGTTGAACATGTTTTTAAAGTCCGGAACTTCCTAACAATTTTGTTTCGCAACTTGCGCCATGTCTTAGAGACGTCCCTTTTCCGTCTTCCATCCCGTTTCTGTTTCCTGCCACCGATTCGTGTTTCAAGGAGCTTCCAGGATCCGCCCAGCCAGAGGCGGTGACTGACATGGCATCGCTTCCGCCCTTGTTGGCCTCGACGTCCCAAGTGGAGGAATGAGATGTGCATGATATGCGGTTGCTTGATGTAGCTCTTTGAACAAAAGCAACTTGGCAAAAAACACGAAGGACACGTGAAAGCATTCCACAATGAAGAGTACCAAAGCTATCCAAAAAAAAAAACTGGGGATGTGTGTGTTTTTCCTTTGGTTGTCTGAAATGCATACATTTGTGCCAGTGGGGTTGACTTAGAGTTGTTCGAAAATCCGACGTTTATTACCATCTTGACCATCTTGGTCTAAAGAGCCGCTTTTGTTGATCCAAGTGGCAGCCACGCCGGATGCACCGAAAAAGGATTTGGTGCCACTACCTCTGGCTGCACCTTCTTTGAAATTACTGCCTTAGTCCAAGCAAAGTGGACTCACTGAACACTGCAGAGTCTGATAGGAGAAAACATCACGTTCAAACAGTGTCTTGAAAGGTGTGCATGACTTCCACTGTTCTTTCCAAGCAGCTTGTCTTTGACGCACCGTGAGACTTTCCAGATGCATGCGACTGCCTGAAGTCGAGCTTGCATGATGAACGTGGGCCTCCTCCCTACAATCCTACAAGATATGATCGATATGATCTTGAATGCACATGTGTAGGCTTAAGGCCTGGCATTGCAGTCTCCAACGCAGTTTGGAAGTCTTCTTGGAGGGTGAACCCCTCACGAACCCTTCGGTGTCTAACCAGTAATGTTGACATAGGATTAAGTAACCACCCCCTATTAATCAGCTCGACCCCCCAAATCCTAACATCCTAACCGAATTTAAAAACCTAGATTTCCACCTTGGCATCACCCTAATAATTTTCTTCTCTACCAGAAACCTCCCCCTATTAATCAATCCCAGCTCCCCCAGAAAAAAAATATATATAGTTGGTTTATATTTACCTTTTTCTTTTTTCTAGTACTCAATATCTTCTGGTCCATGGTGAAACTGATCTTCTGATCCACCCTTGTCTCATGCCATCTCTTTGACAAATAGCATTCTGATCCACCCTTTTCCCATGCTGATCCTGATCCCTCTCCCATTGGGAATCATATGCCCGATCCAATTGGCATGGCTCTCTGATCAATCCTATCCAATCTATCTGATATCCTATCAAACTTGTGCCAATACACTCAGAGCTCTCATGGTTCTCATGGTTCAAACTCTCATCTCCTCATGTCGCCCATACACTCAACCATCATCCATCACCAGGTCCAGGTCCTCATCTCATCTTCCATCATCAGGTCATCACCTTTATTAGGGGGATGTTCTCCTCAATACCTCAAATCTCAAACCTTGTTGACCTTGTTGACCTTGAAGGGGGGGGGGGCCGGTTGATTAATCCTACGTCGACATTAGTCATTAGCCGATTTGAACATGCAATAGCCCAAGGGCCCAAGTAGTCGAAAATGCCCAGCTGATCTTCACCAAGGTGCAATGCAGCATTGGCAGCTGTCTTAAAGGTTTGAGGCTTCACGTTCGTGCGACCTGTAGTTCCTCGGGCAATGCTGGTTTCTGCGACCGGGCGACAGCCTGACAGCCTGACAGCATCCGAGCAAAGCATGAGCCCGTGCGAAATGAAATCGTACCAAGCAACTCTTCAGGCCACCAATGGGAGGAAGAACCTGCAAAATCAGACTATCTGCGAAGCTTGCTTCCCCAGTCAGGAACAATACAAAAATGACTGGTTACCGAGACTTATATAGTGCCTCCAGATGTTTTTTTGAGGATTCTGCCTCTATTTTGTTTGACTCGCAAGCTCCTGACCGATGAACAGAACATGTGACGAACCACGAAATGCGGCGAAAGGGATCTCGCTTCGGATCCAGGGGCAACTCCACACATCTCTGATCACAAGATCCATGAAATCCCATGAAGGATCCAACATCCAATGGATAGCAGTCAATGGATTGGCAAGGAAAATCTACAGGAAACCACAGACTCTTGACTCTCCAAACAAGTTTCCTGTAAATCTTATTTACAATTTCTATGCAATTCTGGGATATAAGGACGGTGGCGATTCACCCAGCCATGGGTTCCAGCGCCTGACTTGGTGTTTCCTCCTCGCTCTCCACGCCATTCTGAGCCTTTCGTCGTGCCTGCGACAGTCCCTATCAGGTCCATGGTTAACACCCCGGTGGGTTTGGTAATATGGGTGTTCAGTGCGATTGACACGTACAGGTCCACACCCCCGGATCCCGCATGCTCAATTTTTCGACTGAGCAAGCGAAAACTGAGAGTGGGTTCTCAAACTGCATGTGTTTGTTTCCTTTCAGAGAAGCAAGGTTCAGAGCATCATGGGCCACA